CCCCAAGAATGATTTACTTTCAGCAAGACGTTTCCAGATGTTCGATTTCGAAATGAAGGCCATCGAAAGCGCATCTTGGTCACAGGAGGTGCAGGATTCGTTGGTTCTCACTTGGTTGATAAGCTTATGATGGATGGGCATGAAGTTCGACTTTTGCTTTTTTTAATTTGATGGTCTTAGTTTTCAGTTTTTTTTTCTTTGTTCGAGTCTTGTCAATTTGTCGCTTTGCTTTTCGTAATACTCCCAACGCTTTTCTTTTTTTTTCTTTCCCTTACCTTTTCATGTTTTTATCATTTACCTCGCGCTTAAAGTCTGAGTCCACGATTAGCTGGTGCGGAAGTCCTTCGTTGAACCTAGTGGCGCGGCCTGCTACTGCGAAGGATTTCCCACTGTTACAACTCGAATTTGCTTGATTAGAACGGGCACGTCGTACTTCGGTGTCCCAACATAGAGGATGTCTTTGATCGTTGGAGGAAAGGGGTCATAATAGGCTTGGAGAAATTTCTGATTAATGGTTCTTCCTCAAGCGCACTGCACCCTCATGGTCGTCGACGCCGCAGAACTACTATTTCTATAGTTGATCGGAGGTGTCTACTTCCTCTTCCGCTCAACCCCCCCCCCCTCTCTCCTCCCTCGCCTCGATGGCATTTTTGGGCAAGTTTGATGAGTCGGTCGATTGTGGGCCGGAGGGGGGGGGTCATATTCAATACGACACAATGTGTACGATTCTCAAAGTGATGGCACGTGCTCCGGTCGGAATCTTGTAGGTTGTGTGTTCTATTAAAAGCCCGCATCAGCTCGCATCGTTTGTGCTCTTAGCCTATTCCTAGATAGAGGGAGGGGATAGAAGCGCTGAGACCTTCTCTGCCCCCCTCTCGTATACTCAGCGTCGTCTTACCTCCTTCAACAGCAAGCTTTTTCCAGCTACGAAAGCCTAAGTTGCGAGCTCATTTGGTTTTTTTTCGCTTCAGTCAGTTTTACACAACTGAAGGAATAACGTGTCCTTCCCCTCTGAAACAAGCCAGACTGAGAGGACTCCTACCGCTCCCTGTATATGGCACCAATGGATTATTTTTCCAGGTGATTGCTCTTGATAACTATTTTACCGGACGAAAGCGGAACGTCGAGAGGTGGATAGGCCATCCTAACTTTGAACTTGTACATCATGATGTGGTTAATCCTTACTTCATCGAAGGTTACATTAACTTTACAATTTATTTGAAGTAGTAGCTGATTTATGGCTCTTTTTTGCAGTGGACCAAATTTATCACTTGGCATCACCGGCCTCTCCACCTCACTTATATGTATAACCCGGTGAAGAACTAGAAAGACGAAACACATGGCACATTACATCTTGCTTTAGTCTAAGTTGGTGATCTTTGTAGTTGCAAGTTTGCAAACGGAAGTGTGTTAGGCATTGTCATTTTGCTGCTTCTGTAGTCTCGGTTTACAAGTCTCATTTTAGTGGAACCTTGGAACTCTTGTGAAACTGGGGCAAGCTGGTCGACCCATTATGCTATTTCGTGGCTTCACAGAAGTTGGCACTCTTATAAAGAGTTGACAAGTGTTCTCTACAAGCTTTGGCTGCCATGATTTTGTGACTTCACAAGGTTCCGAAGGCTTCCATCTTTTATGTCTCGACACAGTCGATGGCAATAGAAGTATTGCCAACTGCCCCTTCTCCCGCCTATTAACTGTAACGGGCAGTCTCATGCACTGTCATTTCATATGCGTTGTTTAGTCATAACTGTCTTTGTTTTTGGGCGCGTCAAAGCCACGATATTGCTGGCTTCGACATCGGAGATTTACGGTGGATCCAGAAGTGCATCCACAACCCGAAAGCTATTGGGGACATGTGAATACGATCGGACCACGTAGTTGCTATGATGAAGGAAAGAGAGTAGCGGAATCCTTAATGGTTGCCTACAATAAACAGGTTTGTTTTATAAGGTTACTTACGGGTACTGGCCATTTAAGGCTGCGTTCATACTTTGCGTCAGCGTTTAGAGCGGCTAGGAATGTATGGGTATCGATCTCGCGTTTTGAGCATACGCCAGCATGCCCGCAAAAAACTCAAAACTACCCACGAAGTGCTCAAAACGCTGCGGTACACTGGAAACGCTCGAACGCGACGTGACGCGAATAAACGTACTCTAATAGTCCGGGCGTTTCAGGAACGTGTCCCCATACGGATTGCTCGTATTTTCAATACATTTGGGCCACGGATGCATATGAATGATGGGCGAGTGGTGTCTAATTTCATTATTCAAGCGTTGCAAGGAAATCCTATAACGGTGAGCGTAATCATATTGTCTGTTTTGTTCACTTATGTTTTTTCTTTACTAACGATGAGTATTTTGGTGCAGGTGAAGTGGGAGATCAGATAGTAGGGGGGAGGGGGGAGGGAGGGATGGGGGAGGGGAGGTGATCGCATCGACTCTGGTCGTCTTTCAGGCTGCGTCCATACTTTTCTGCTCAGATTTCTTGAGCGAAAAAGAAATTATCGGTATCGACTAGGCGTTTTGGGAGAATCATCGTTTTGAGCATTTCGCGTGCGGCTTTCCTCGATGAGTTTCATCATCAGCAGCTGGGCTTTCTTTTTACAGAACCTAAAACGTTGATTCTCCCAAAACGTGGAGTCGCAGTGTATGAACGCAGCTTCAGGCAGAGGCTCGGACGAAAGAATTTGTAGGACGCAGACGAGCATGCTTCTCCTCACCCATCCACCTTATTTAACCGGAAAGTTTTGAGTCATACCCTTTGATCGCACCAGTTCTCTGTTTTTGCCTGCGCTTCCTCTACGGTACAGAGCTCTATGACCAATTCCCCGAAACCACTTATCCTGAACTCCTCTCTCCTTGAACAATCCCATTCCAGGGTTTGTCATAGGTTCTTTCGCATCGCTCAATGCTCTGGTAGCCGCAGTATAGTTGTCTGTGCTACGAGACTGCGTGACAGGTCCATGCACAACAGAGTGCTGTTCGGCTTAGGGGGGGGGAAGGCTACCATTTTGCACTTCTCTAGTTTCTCCTGCTAGTCCCTGTTAAATTACGCGTTTGACTTCGGTAAGACCTACAGACTCTTGTCAAGTGTAGTCAGAGCCCATGCTTTTGTATAACTTTGGCAGGTTCTCACCAGAGCATCGGCAGTGATCGGTGGGAACCAGTAATATGCCCTCGCCAAGCCGAACTGTGCGCAGATGTTCAAATAGTAACGTAGCCGATCCCTTGAGGCTCACATTTAATTTGCTATGACTTCTTTGTTTTATTTTTTTACTATATCATATTATTGTATTTGCTGCGTAATCACGACGAATAAGTTGTTCAGATTTATGGTGATGGCTCACAGACGCGATCTTTTCAATATGTGGATGATTTAGTCGATGGTTTGATATTGCTTATGAACAGTAACTGTTCGCTACCAGTCAATATTGGAAATCCAGAGGAGTACTCTATCTCAGACTTTGCGCGTATTATAAAAGATCTAGTCGGTTTGTGCTTGTTCATTTATCGTTTATTTAATTTTTTTACCTTAAGATACAGTACGATTCGAGATGCAACATAGTTGGCGGAATTTTATCGCGAGTATCGTACTATGAAGTAGAAAGGGGTTAGGGGGGTCGTACCCATCGTTGAGTGAGATGTCGTAATTGGTTTTGAGGCAAATTTTTTCGAGCAAAGCCGTCGAGTGAAGTTTCCGGCTCTTGATTTTTCTCGTCTGCAGCCTTGTACGTACACGTCCTCCATTTTCGATAGTGCCGCGAAACTATGTACTATGCAGCCACTATGTTCGCCAGCTTATGGTTGATTCTAACACCTGATTGGGAAATGCCTCCGCTTTTGAGGGTACTCCCGTTGCGTAGGGGATTGAAGAATTCGCGTATATATCGTTCCACATGAAGTTCATCTTCTTTTACGTTTTGGGAAACATTTGCTTTTTCAGGAAGTGAAAGCAGTATAGTTAACAAGAGTTCGCAGGAAGATGACCCACAGCAAAGAAGACCTGATATATCGAGGGCCGCTAAAGAGTTGAAATGGCAACCTCAGGTGCGTTTTGTAAAATTGAATTTAACTCCTGTCCGAATACGAGGGTTCGTATCAGGTCGATGCGAGAGTGGGCCTGATAAAGACAATAGAATATTTCCGTGATGAAATTAACGAACATCGGCGGCTTTCTTCTGCAAACGATGACTAAATATCACGTTGTGAGGAGGCTCCTGTGTGATCTATCGTGGGGCTTACGCGGGCGTGCGTGGGCCTGCGACGCCGTCGCCTGTGCGTACGAGTAGAGATGTTCCCCGGGTCGTTCGATTTTTCGGGGGTCCATCTCGTTGCCCAGAAGACGGGTTCGTGAACAAGTGCAATTCTTGCTTGCAATGACACTCATGTGCATAGTATAACGTGGGCAGCGTTCATACTTCTCGACGATGCGCTGTATCCGCGTCGACGTACTGCAATTGCAACGGCGCGCCGCCACTATAGACGGCGCACGCAGCCATAGGTGGGAATCGATCGACGTCGGCCGACGCTGTAATTGAGAAATGTAAGAGGGAATAGGAGGGTACGCATTAGGCCTGAATACACACAAATGGTATTGGATCGGGACTCGGCGACGCTGGCGCATTGAGAGAGTACAGAGAAGTATGAGTGTACCAGGTTATATGGAATCAGCACCTACCCTACTGTTATCCCATACTTTCATATAACGCAGCTAGCGCTGTTCAGTTCCCCTCTGCGACGACGTTGGTGTCTACAGCATCGGGCGCCCTTACTGTTGTAGCGTGCGCGTCATCGCAAAGTCTGAACGCTGCCCTATTTCACGATAGAATCGCCTCTCCAGTTGTGAGCACCCAATTAGTTTTGTTGTAGTATAATTATCGATTATTGCGTTATGTATTGTGATTCAAAAAGCTACCGGTTCGGTGTGATCCAGAGATGATTCTAAGGTCAGAATAGTTTTGGTGATAGTTCTTTTTTTAATTTCTCAACGTGTCTTTCGATTTAAAAGTCAGTATTGCATAGTTATGATTCGAGTATTGTTTTGTTAGGGGTTGATGGTGCGGGATTTCCTAATATACGACATGGTTAAAGAGCTTCTACAGAATTGTTCGGCTTGGTGAGGGCGTTTTGCACAATCGCTAGTTTTTTTTTGTTAATTAATGTTGAATATCAGGTATCGCTTTGGTGATACTTGTAAACTCCTTTGGAGCTGCGAAATGGTACAAATGTATCACTTTGGCTGCAGGAATTCACAAGTCCTTAACAAGGCGGCTATACAGCTTAGCTGAAGTAACCATTCGGTGCCCCTACTGAGCCAAACAGCGCCGTTTTTAATATAGGTACTTATAGGTTTCGTTTCGAGTAAATAGCAGTTTGTTATTACTTGTTTGTTTTGTTATAATAAATGTATATATGGTCTATTGTTTTGTAGAGTGAAGAGATTGTTTGGTCAGGTACCTCTGCAGCGTTTGTTTATACTCTTGTTTATACACGCGTGTGAAAGGAAAGGCGCTCAGGCGATGCTTAACCATGCATGTGGGTGTACATAGTGCGCGAGATCCACATTGCGGTGATCCCTCACGGAAGTAAACATGACATGCGCGATATTTGCACCAGGATCAAATTCATTAGATGTGGAAGTGCTGGGAGACGGTAAAGAGGATCGTAATTTGCCGCACCGCCACGCGCGACAATGGGCGCGGCGTTTTCATAGCTCGTTTTAACCTGTCGAAACGGAGCACCGGTCTTCATGTAGACCCGTCATCGTAGGGTTTTCGGTCCTTAATTGCATGTTCTAGCCATCTACGTACCTAGAAAAATCTTTTTTTTTGCAACGAGAACGTCGCATCGCGACGCCATTCAGCGCGGGCGAATTACGATTCATCTTGTCACATGCCCGCCGAGTCAACTAGCTAGTGAAAACACCGTCTATCGTGTGTTGGCCGCGAACGTGAAATCTCCATGTACTTGCACCTCATTCACTTCAGTAGATATCGGTGCTACTGGTACATCGCAGCGACTGCGCGCGAGCGCCGCTGGTATCTTTAGTTGGTCGAAGCGGGCAATAGGAATGCGTACTTTGCCGCTTGCGCTGCGCGCGCGAACGGCGGCGCGACGCGCTTTTCTTTGCAATGTGCGCCGTGCCATTTGAAGCACTTGGGGAAAAATTTTAGTGGATTAAGAAACTGGAAACCTGAATTGACTACCTCGTTCTACAATGCCCCCCATGCTAAGCATGGAACCTCACGGTGGTTTGAGGGCCGCAGTCACTGGTTTTGTGAGCGATGTATCAGCAGCGGCGAACTTACGATTCTCTGCCATATCCCTATTTAGACTAGTTGTCGTTGAACCTTGCATTTTGAGGCGTGAAGTCTCGAGTCATGTACGCCCTCGTCCTATAACCGTTATTTCACGCCGCATTTTAAAAATGCGGCAAAACGTAGTTTTGCTTGCTTCCATATGAAAACAAATGAAAAGGAAGTAATGGGTGGATGCATCGCATATTATGATTGAAACAGTTGTGAACCTTATCATCATGATCTTCAAGGCTTAAGCACAACTTACCCATTGTCGAATTTCTTAGAAATAAGCCAGGAAATAAACGGTACAGAACGTTAGGTTGCTACGAACTAGTTGATTTGACGCCAAAGTTTATATCGAGTCAACTAGTCAGTAATGCGGGTCTGCACGACTCGGATCTCCTGCTCTAAATCTGCCTTACATGTGAGTCAAACTAATAAGGACCGTTTTGTTTCTTTATAATAAGCCGAGTACTGTTGTCTTCTGCGCAGGCTGAGCATTGTCGGGAAGGATGCCGGAGGTTGGTGCGGCATGAGCCGTTTTCAGCCGTGTGTCCGGCTTGCCCGCTTCAATGATTGGTGAAGAACTGCCCTGGCCGCGCCGAACTCAGCCCCCTGATACGATCCAGTACCCACAGCGAATGAGACTGCAGGATGTGGCAACATTAAGTAAGACTCCGGATCAACCATCCTACTCATGCTCGGTCACGTTTCCCGGGGGGGGGGGGAGAGGGCGACACAGTAAAAAATGAATTCCGACAATTATTTCAACGAATTAACAAGAAATTATTGCAGTTCAGATGACAAATTACTTTTGCTCTTCACCCCCTAAAAAACGAGCGAAATCGGAGTATCCTGCTGTGTAGGACTACCCAGACTCCTGGATGAATTCCTTCCACGCATCCGCCTTCTGAGGCCTAAGGCCAAATACTCGTGGGTCTCTTGCTGTCACTTTCCTACTTTCTTTGGTTCGTTTATTGCTAACTTCATGTAAATAATGATTTGCCATTTTCTCTCATGGAAATTCACGACTACACAGACAGATTCTACAACGCAGAGACGCGAAGCACGATCAGAGTTTTGGGAACATCAAGCATCATCCAGCACAGAATGGAGTCACAAGGAGCGTACCTGTGCACACCTCTCCTCTTCGGGCTCCTCGTGATGAAGGCAGAAGGAAACCAATGCAAAGAACAGTGGCATCGGTCACACCACGGCGTTTCAACACGCAGGTTTGGAACCTTTCTCGAAGGGACGTTGCTCAGTAATTGTATGGGCAGAGTTACATGAACAGTTGCGGCTCTCCCACTTGTACAGTCTTATTCTCTGCAGATGAAGGGTTGTGTCAGGTGGGTTGGGCTTGTCGCCGCTCGAAACCCATCCCGCCTGATACGCTTCTTCATCCGCAGCGAACATCCGCAACGACTATATACGGGCCGCGCTCAGAGGAATTTTTTATTACTGAAGGGCGTTACAGTAAGGTTCTTTTGTAGGAGAAAAATGAGTATCATCATAATGGTCAATTGCTGATGCTGAAAAATCGTGTCGAAAATATGGAACGTGAGAGGGAACGTTTGGCTGCGCAAACAAGGGATCAGGTAAGGTACACGAAATTGTGGTCCATGCTTTCAACTTCTCAAGCTTTGATTTCCAGCTGATCGCGAAGGAAAAACACCATGCAGCTGAAATCTGGGAGAAAGAGGAACGGATACGTCAGCTTGAAACGCAGATACAGTGTCTGGTAAGTGCTTAAGATTTCACCACTGTTTTCGGTGTTTGTTGTTTTTTTCCAGAGAAAAACCGTGTTCGCGTTGCTAACAGTGCGTTCATACTTTGTGTAGCGTTTCGAGCGCACAACCGCCCTTTAAAGGCAGTTGGCACGATGGTTTCCTACTTAGCCTAAAATGCTAGTAGGGCGCTGTATAGGGGAAATGGCGAAAGAACGGAGTGAAACGGTCAAAATCCTGCGAAGAAAAAGCCTCCGTTCTCAGTGACTTGAAAATCGATTTCGGACGAGTTTCCCGTAGGCATCTTACCAATCACCGCTACCGAAGATACGGCTGCATATGTGTACCCATATATGCATGCAGCATCACGGCCGCTTCATACCAATCCCTTCGCTTCATAATTTGCTTAGCAAATGAATCGATTAGAGCGTCAGGAACGGTCGTCCATTTGTGGGCGGGCGGGCGTGGCGGGCGTTTGGGACGTGGCTTGATAGGGCCCTTATAAGGGCACCTTCCTCGGGGAAACCGCTATGCAGCGCCTGCCCAGGGTCGCGGAATTCTATCCTGCCAGGAGTATTGATCCTAGTCGTCTTGGGGGATTTATCGTGCCAACTGCCTTTAAGAGTACGCTACCGTTTTGTGCGACTGGGGACAAAATTCTGGCTTACGCGCGTACTGTTCGAAAGCCTGCCGTACGCTCAAAATGCTGATGCAGGTATGAACGCACTCTAATTCTCAACGCACTCTTCTCTCTCTCACACTTGGAAGCATAGTCCACTCTGTTTGTAGGGCAGGAGTAACGCCTACCACTGTGCTCTTTTCATTGGCACATTCCTCCTCTATACTGTCCTGCGAAGCGGGAAAGGCATAGGGCATATTTTCCAAGCAGATGAAGGGGGTTCTTAATTAGACGGATTGGTTCCGAGAGGGTTGGAGTGAGCCTACCGGCGGCGTTTTTTTTACTACAGGTTGTTTTCTTCCTGGACCGACCAAAGTACAAAACGCAGCTTTGGGTGGGCTCACTCCACGGTTCGTGGCACCGGCGGAGCATGACGATTCATTCGGGATCCCCAGCGAGGGGGACGCATTTGGCCACTGGAGGGGTGAGGTATTGCTTTTAAGAGTAAGGATGGTAGATAGGATGAGGGGGATGGGAAGGCGGAAGGACACATAAGAAGAAGAGCTTTTGAGGGGTATAATATTCAGCAAATTTTCCCCCAACGGCAGGACGACCTTTTACACCTCTCTACTGATGATTGCGACGACATCTATAATACCTGTCCCTTAGTCTCAGCGCCGCAATTTTACTGCTATTTCTGATAGCTGAGTATACGAGAGGGCCTCTCCCGCTTGAGGGACAGGGACTTCAGAGGAATATTACCAATTCCGGACGTGACAAGGACGGGGGCATGCCGTTGAGGAGGGCACTTTGAAAATTCTGACTTTGCCTACATGATCTGTGTAGACGTCTTTGAATTGCCATCGTTTCGGACGCCCCAATATGTGCCTAAAAGCCAGAAATTGCTCATTGTTCTCAGTGGTTACGGTCTTGTTCGCTGTGGATGATGGGGCGTGTCCACACAGCTGCGTTTGGCACGCTGCCGAATCCTTTCTCCACCAGTTCTTTAGCGAATGAGGGTCAACAACTGGTGAAATCGCCTAATGCGAACGATATGGCACTTGTCGCTTACCGAAGGAAAAAGCGGCCGCGCGGACACACCCCATCATACGCAGCGAACCAGACTATATGCGTGGATGCCAGGAGGCTTTCAAAGAAAGTTGCTAACTTTAAGCGGCAAGAAAACTTGCAAAGCAGCTTTCAAATACACAACGTCACGATGTCGGGCAGTATTGATGTGGAAATGGCTGATGGCACGGCAGCACCCAGCACAAGCGCAGCGTTACCTACAAGACGAGTACGTTTTCATAGTAAACGATTTGACTGGTTGTGCGATCGAATCTTTGAGGAATTTGTCGTGACATATCTTTTGATTAAGAGGAATCAGTGGTCCATATTCAGGTGAGCTTGCCAAAGAATGACACTGCATGGAAGAATATTTCACGATTTGGAGCTGCAGCTTCTGTATTCGCTAATAATTCAACCGTAGATCGATTTGGCAATGAAAATGGCTCCGAAACCTTCGCACACATTCCCAGTCAGATGCTGGGTGGTCTCCCAGGTTTGTGATCTATTTCGTATTTTAGGATTTGTTTTTGCAAGGACTTTGTAAAATATGCTTACTTTCTCTGGGCTCTCTTCTCTAAAAGTGGTCCTTTTCCCATCAACCTCATCCTTGAGTCCCCTTTTTCTCTAAACTAAGGGGTCTGGCGATAAAAGAAATCCGGCGATTTGGTAGACTTAGCGATTTAAGAGACTGCGCGACGAGAAAACTATGGGTATCGATCTGGCGATTGCGAAGATGGAGCCATTCGGCTATTTGGAAGATCCGCTGGATCGCCGAATCGCTCGCCGATTCCATTTCAAGCCAATCGGTACACATCCACCCCTTCTGCGCGCAACCTCTCGAATCGCCGAGTTTTACCAGTCGCAATGTGCTCGCAACCTCAGACCCGCGACCTTGCGTCCATTCTTCGCGGCTACTCGCTCGATTTATGCGGAGCGTACGATATGCGCCTCTCCCAGCTACACTGGCGATGTCTCGTTTTTGATGGTGTTCGCTATTTCAGTCCCGAATGGTACGTTCCGATGCCCTCAGCCAATCTACGAAGCTCCGAAGAAGATAGCTGTTACTACCGAAAGCAAACAGTGCCAAGCAGAAGGACTCTTTGATGACTGGAATGTAAGTTTAAGTGCTAGTCAAAGTATGAAATTGCTATTCAGCAGTTTTTCATAAGTGAAGCCTTTTTATCACTTGTTACCGAAAAAATTTCTCACGGGAGCAGATTCGCCACTGTTGCGCTTCTTCCCTTGGCGCGCCTCTCTTCGCCGCCAAAGGCACATCGATGTACAAGATCTAAATGAAGTGGGCACGATTGCTGGTAGTGGGCGGTTCTTGCCAGCATCCTTGGTGGATGGAATGGGTGAGAGGCGTTCGGCCACACCTCGCTAAGCCCTCCCATCAGTGACGTTGACGACAACCGCCCACTTCCAAAAATCGTGGCCACCGCCCTTAAGAGTTAGTGGATAAATTTATCGCGGAATTTGTCCTTGATCTCGCTTCCTTGTTTTCCTATCTTCTAGGCATACTTTTAAGGTCCAACGGAAAATGCGTGAAGTTTCGTTGGAGTCCTTTCTTGAGATCGCAAACTGCCAGCATGAGGACAGTAAACTCGTCTTGGTCTGTCTGCTTAAGTAGGCTATGCCACGTCAGGGATCATTTGGAACTGAAATCTCATTTAGGTACGGTAGAGCAGCTCAGTGATGATTCATTCACCTAATTTTTTTGTTGTTTTCATTTTTAATTGCAATGTCTTGCTCAAGACAAGTTTGGGCGCTAGCGTGATTCACAGAGGGAAGAGAGACCAGAA